GTGTACCCCAGACAGTTGTTTATGCACCCATACATCAATTTCACGCAGCTCACTTCAGGATTAACCTGCAGAAACCAAACATTTGCTCAAACAACACTTTCTACACATCTAAAACCAACAAACAACAAATTATTGAATTCTAGGTACTTAACAACACTTGCATTTGACTTACCAATTGTTTATGGACACTTTCATAATGCGGATGGAGGTAGGCAACGTCTTGCATATATCGCTCTAGCCATAAAATACCGAAACCACAAGCCTACTGCACCTCTATCTCTATCGGTGGGAGGTAGAAACTGTGTACTTCCTGTCGTCAAACACTCCAAGCACATGCATACGAGAGGACCACAATCCCCTCTGGCTTCCTGCGTTTATTGTGGTGCGGTCTCGTCTCTGATAAATGTAACATTAAACTTCTTTGGCTTCTTGTTTCCAGAATAAGTCCAATAATTAATCGCATCCAATAATTTAGCCAAATGAGAGCTCCATCCCTTAATAATATCTCTCAAATCAGAAAATGATATGTAATTTATCATGCTGTCATATACTATTATCTTCAGGGATGGGAGTTGAAGCTCGACGAGAAGCCAATGAGTATGTTCCAAAACAGGGATAAACACCTGCAATCATAAGTAATAATTCAATTGCGCACTTATTTATGAACACCTTTAAAATATTTAAAAAATAAATACTAACCTTATCGACCTCCCACCATACAGGATAAAGTTTAGCTTGTCCATTAGCTAACACATATGATTCCTATCGTTGATTCTTCAAGTGAACTACGTGAAAAGACATCGGCATAATTGTATATCGCGTATTTTTTTTATTTTCCCTCATTTTCCTTATAATTAGAAGACGTGACACCCATGCATCAATATGCTGTTTTACAAAAAAAGACATATATTAGTGAATTACATAAATTTTAAAAAAAATTAATCAAAATGAAATATAAGAAAAATATAAGACTTACCCCCCATCGAAATAGCCTTTGTCTTCAACCCCTAATAACACACCCCACCAAGACCGATCAATCAACAAATGCATATCATCGTTGAGTTTGTATATGTCAGCGTAACACCCTGGCTCCGCTCATGTAGATAAAAATCAACTGCGGTCTTAGCCCAAAGGGTATTATCCAGAATTGTTTCCGGTAGTTTTCTCCTCTCCACTTCATCTGCCGGAATGGTACTGGCCGGTAACTCATACAAAAGCCAACTGTCATCCATCATGTCCGGCACGTGAGAGGGTTTATCAATAATTCGGCATATTATGTCGTGTGCTTCGGGCTCTTGAATGATGGGAGGGACCTCTTCAACGATGACAAGGACCTCTTGAACGGTGGAAGGGGACTCTTGAGGGATGTTAGGGGCCTCTTGAACGATAGGAGAGGCCTCTTGAACGATGACAGGTGAGTCGGGCTTCTTCTTACGGAGTCTTCTCACTATTGGGGTGAACGGAGACGTAATGACACATGCACGTCGTCTGATGCGTGAACCCCGTCGTGCAAGAAAAACCTGACGTAAAACATCCACCTTATCGGGCCGCTAAAAATAAATTAATACATAAATCAGTAAATAAACAAACATGATATTAAACAGTGAAAACAAAGACAAATATATTTCAAACTTGCACGGTATTCACCCAAGTCGTTATTCTATCATAGTTCACAAAATGCATCAGATAACATTCCAGAAGTAAGCACTTATATAAACATTTAAAAGGACAACATATAGGTTTAGTGCATGTTCAAGGACAACATAAAGAGTAGTAGTTTATTCTTGAAACTTAAATTTACAACACTGTGAAGTTAGTATTTGTCTTTGTCTTTTGGTTGAAGTAATGCAATCCATTCAAGTTTCAATTTGCAGAAGAAGAATAGTTTCTGAGACTTAAAATCGCAACACGAAACTTAAAATTGCAACGCGAAAATGACTATTGCAACGCGGAAACGACTATCGCATCGCGAATTTGACTATCGCAACAAGATAATCGCAGTTGCGATTTTCATTTTCGCATTACGATTTTCACGTTGCGATTTTTATTTCGCATTACGATTATCCCGTTGCGATAGTCAAATTCGCGTTGCGATAGTCATTTCCGCGTTGCGATTTTAAGTTTCGTGTTGCGACTATTCTTCTTCTGCAAATTGAAACTTGAATGGATTGCATTACTTCAACCAAAAGACAAAACAAAGACAAATACTAACTTCACAGGGTTATTTTAGAACTGTTTAGCAGTATTGGCAGCAACCGAATGAATTTACTAAGCAATCTAAGTGAAATGGTTAATATAAGTGAAATTACGAGTAAATCAAGTTAAATATGAAAAATCTTAAACTTACCTCGTTGCGTAGAGTATGAACCTCATTCTACAATGATGTTACCATCTCACGTAGAGCCGCTACCTCACCATGTAAAGTAGATACCTCATCACGCCATGCACCATTGTCATCACGTAAAGTACCGACCTCCTCACGCAAGGCATTGAGCTCATCATGTAACTCCCCTAACTCATCCCGTGGAGGTGGAGAACAGGGAGATAAATGTCGTGGCATCTTTGTCGGTCGCCTATCATGAGGTGATGGTGGAGAAGAGGCTCGATGATGTGACGGAATAGGTGATCGCTCTCGTTGTAGAGATGTATAGTGTGGTCGATCAGGTGATGGCTCTGAGTGAGGTGATGGCTCTCGAAGTGGAGGCTGCTCATCATCCGTGCCATCAAAAAATCGCTTACTAGCTTGCCACCAATCAGTGGCAAGCTCAGCCTCTGTGGGTATAATCCTCTGTAATGGAGTGTTGGCCTCCTAACAATATAAAAGCTCAAACAAAGTTAAACGTGTACTAGTAATAACTTGTTTATATATGGTAGTATTTGTCTTAACTTACATCATTTATTGTCGTATACCGTAGTAACTTTTCCCAAATCAACAGTCGCCGTTTCCTCTTCCAGGAAATAGCCCTAGGAATATCATTTGAAATTTTTAATGCATATGTCTGCATGTCGGGAAAAGCCTCAAATATCCAAATCTACAAACAATATAATACACAAACATTAGCAATTGTTAAATAATTAATTATAATTTTGGAAATATTATATAGAAATTCTTACCTTAAAGGCCCAAATAAAGCCTGACAAAGTGTATTTGGAACCATCGCCACGCAAAATTTTATGGTTATCAAAGGCAGACGACAACTTATTCCAGGTAGCTTTCCATAGATACGAACCCCATGAAAACATGTTCCATGCATTTAGGTCCTCTACCAATAATATTAGGTCCTTATGAATAGGTTGTCTGGCCTCTCTGCCTAAAAAGATGGCATGCAAAAGCACTAAAATGCATACTCGGACAACACCGGCGTCATCCATTCGAGTAAAACCATCTTTCTTATTAAATAATCTCATCAAGTCATCGACGTGTAAATTCAGCTTCTCCATTGACAACTCAGGAAAAACCCGGGATAACAATGATGGGCGGGTAATATGACTAGTGTATCGACCTACATCATCGTGTCCGAAGCGTAGACTAGTGATTAAGCAAAACTCCTCCCGCCCAAAACACGTATACGCCGGTGGAAAATGAAACCATATCTCTTCATTACCACATTTTATACTCTCAGGTAGATCGCTAGTCATGGTCTGAAGCCACAAATGGGTCAACATAGCCCGGATGTTGTACTTTTAGCCATGGCCCGAAGCAAGTATCCTCAAGCAATTTTCTTTGTACAGGTTAAAGCTTCGACACAATTGTAGTGCCTAGGCTTATTTTATTCCTTAAGGTCAATTGAGCCGAAAAAAAAGTTCTACAAAAACAATAAACATACCAAGTTAGATATATCAAAAACTACACTGTGAAGATGTACCAAAAACAATAATAAACATAAAAAGTAGTAGTAGTTTATTTTTCAAACTTAAATTTGCAATACTGTGAATTTCGTATTTGTCTTTGTTTTTTGGTTGAAGTAATGCAATTCATTCAAGTTTCAATTTGCAGAAGAAGAATAGTTTCTGAAACTTAAAATCGCAACACGAAAATGAAAATCGCAACGCGGAAATGACTATCGCAACGCGAATTTGACTATCGCAACGCGAAATGAAAATCGCAACGCGAAACTAAAATGGCGTTGCGATTTTGTCGTTGCGATTTTGTCATTGCGATTTTCATTTCGCGTTGCGATCCTCGGTTTCAAATAGTCATTGTCTAAAATTGAAACTTGAATGAATTGCATTACTTCAACCAAAAGACAAAACAAAGACAAATACTAACTTCACATGGTTAAAGACTAAACAGTTTAGCAGTATGGGCAACAATCGAATGAATTTAATAAGCAATCTAAGTGAAATGGTTAATCTATTATTGAAATTACCAGTAAACTTATCATCAATTTCAATATGAAAAACCTAATAATAATGCAAAAATTTTAAAATAAAAATAATTAAAAAAATAACCCTCGGTGGTTGATTTGGTTGATTTTCCATTTCTGATCGTGAATGATTGTGAGGGTGACTTTGAGAGATGGAGATAGACGGATTTCGTCGGAGATGGGGATGGATTTTGTCGGAGATGGGGACGGATGTCGCCGTAGAGAGTGATAGATGGATATGAGATTGAGTTGTGATTTAGGGTTTTAGGTTAAGAGTTGCGATTACGGGATATATTAATATTTGTGTTTGGAATTTGAAAATAAAATACGCGTTGCGATACTAATGACGCTTTGAAAATCGCATTGCGATTTTGTATTATTGCAACGCGATAGTCAGAATCGCGTTGCGATTATGTATTATTGCGTTGCAATAGTCAAAATCGCGTTGCGAATCTGGAAACTGATTTGCGATACTGGAGATCGCATTGCAATTTAGAGATCGCATTGCGATTTTATTGGTCATTTTGACAAATCAAAAAAAAGTTGGTCAAAATCGTATATTATAAAAAATTTTCGGTCACTGAAGTTATTTTCTCAATTTAGAATCCCTACTTATGTTGAGATCTCTAGGAAGCCGTTTTCCTTAAAAATTAATTTCCGATACTATTACTTTCGGTAATTCTGGTTTGTTCTAATGGTGCAGAATGGTCGAAGGATGGAGGCTGATCCAGTTCAGAATCTGTTGTTGGAGGAGCTGCCTGCATCGAATGGTCAAATTTACAGGCTGGCCCGAACTTGCAAATGTCGTACCGACCGTAGTTTGAGCTGATGATTTGATCCTGGAGTTCGAAATCAAATATCAATCTTAATGGTGATACAACTACTTGAAAGCGTTAATAAGTGTTGAATGTGATTAGAAATGAGAATTTAATTGTTATCATCAGAAACATAAACATAAACCATTAAAGTAATTGCTAAAAGAATGAGCTATATTGTTGGGTTTAATCCAAGTCCCACAAGGAGAGGATGCGTTGCAGAATCTAAACCAGATGCTATGTTTTTGTAGAAATCCGTGTGCCTAGCAGAACCTCGCGTTTTAATCACTGCCTAGATGAACAATCAAGTACCAACTTATAAGAGATGCAATTTTTACTGATTTTCTATAAAGAACTTGTTTCAAGATGTACGAGAAGATAAGAAGGGAATGCATTTCACTATTTAAGGTGGATTGCTTTTGTTTTCATTTTCCGGAAGCATAAAAATGTTTTTTTTTTTAAAAATCAACTACCAAGTTTATATATATTTGATAAAAATAATAGCCTAAAGGAGCACAATCTTACAGGTCTCAGTGGCAAGCCATTGTCACTGAGAGTATATGGTGTCGCCTTTGCAGATCGGCTTTTTGGATGATGATATTTGCAATTAGATTTAAACTTACAGTCCCCGGTTTTTAGGAAGTAACTGTACTCAGGTTGGCCAGGCCGTAGTGGCAATTCATCAATCATCATATGCGGCTGATGTTGATTATAGACAGCGGTTTCAGTTGAGGGGCTCATGACATATGCTGGGGTTGGATGCAAACTCCTTTCTGGTGGGGGACAAACAGGGGCCTTGACAAGGAAAATAAGACCCAAGTCCTTTCTGGTGGGGTTTGATTGCATTTTGAACAATAGAGATGTCTTCAAACTGCACAAAAGCATAACAAACACCAACAACATCCTGCATGCAACTAATACAAATTTAGTTTGTTTTCAAGAAAAAAACTACCAAAACTTCATCAAGATCTACAAGAATTGGAAATGGATATCAACTTGAGACTTGAGGAAACTGCAATAAATTTCAAATTTATCACAAATCAACATGAAACGAGGAACATGGACAGAAGCATGAAGGACTTATATCAAATTTTGTCTTGCTAGGACTTAATATCAATGTGTAACCTCGGAAGGTAGAGTTGAAATCCGCATATATAATTGACTGAAGCATTCTTGACTAAAGGAATAGGATTGCAACAACATCTATATATGACGAAGTTATAAACAAACTACATTAAAGGTATGATGATCACTTGAAATAGATAAAAAAAAGGGAGAGGGGTAATTTTTGACAAGAGTAGCATGTGGTAGGACGAACAGGAAAGAAGTTCAGTTCCGAATTCGAATTAAAATAGTTCATAACAGAAATTATGTACATCAGAAGTACAGTCAATATACCAAGCAGCTAAACCAAAACAAATAACACACACAAATAGGAAAAATGACTAGCAAATTAGGTTGAAAGCAAACTTACCCAAAAGCAACACAAAAAACTAGATTGCGAAGTAAATCAAAACTGAAGGATGAAACCAGAAGTGAACAAAGAAAAGCCTGAAATACCCAGAAATGAACTAATAACAAAGGAGCGAATTCATATCAGAAAAGCCGAATTGAGAATAAAAAAATCAAAAGAAAATTGAATGAAGGTGAAGAATGACGAAATGACTACCCTTTTTCTTATTTATTATTTGTAATCAAATTCTAGATTTAAGAAAGAAACAAAAATGGAGCGAACAGAGCGACATTTGCATTGCAAATAGACATGCAGCGACCGTACCTTTTAGGAAAGACAAAACTGGGAACTGCACCTGCAATAAAGTCTTCGGTTTGACATCTGAAAATCAAAACAAAAATAATAATAAAAATGGATGAAACAATTTTCTTTTTAATTATGTTTCCGTGTTAAATTGAATATAAAAATAAGGTAAGATTACATTTCTCCCTTTCTTTCTTTTTTTTTCTAACAGATGCGGTTTTGGATTTCAAAACTTGAAGAAAGAAATTAGACAGCTTCTTTGGGGGAAATTGCACAAATTCAATTTGATAAGAAAATAATCTTGCAATCGAAACAGTTTTAGTGAAAAATAACCTCTATTCAGGAACCAAAACATGCTAATTTAGATAGAGCTAAACTAACCTTCTTCAGAAACCAAGCCTTCCTCCACAGCTTTCTCTACTCCAGTAGGAGCCAACTCGATGGAGGAGATGATGCGCCAGGAAGCACGGCGAGCGCCGATGATGTTCTTATAAGCTTCGGAGAGAAGGTTTTGTTCTTCGACGGTGAACTCCTCGTTGTCGGCGGAAGCAGAGACTTTCTCCATGAACTCGACCATTTTCTCGTAGTGTTTTTCTTGCTCGGCGATATTTTCCATATAGACATTTTTCTCACGGGGAAAGAACTAGCGGCAGCGGCAATTGTCGAGAGAGAGGCAAAAGGCAAAGCTGGTAAGAGTAAAGACTAAAGAGAAATGGGTCGGTTTTAAAATGATAATATGTGAGATTTGGGGGGAGTCTTTTTATGGAAAATGCGATAATTGCGTTGAGGGAGGAGGATCAAATATGAACCATTGGATAGGTAAAAGCATAGTAAAGACTAAGGTGGTGTTTCTTTTTGTAGAGATAAAAGGTCTGCAGTATGCGGACTACATCTGCAGGAATCTACGGACCACATCTGCAGGAATCTACGGACCACATCTGCAGGCATCTACGGACCACATCTGCAGGCATCTGCAGCAGAAGAGGTGGACTAAAAGTCTCCAGTCTACAAGAAGAAGACTGTTTGTTTTTTTAACGTCTGCAGACTGCTAAAATAAACTGAAATATAAATAAACTGATTTTTTAAACTTAAAAGAGTTTTGCAATATTGAAATTTAAATAATTTTAGTTTTACAATACTGAAATTTAAATAATCCATACAACTACAATAATAAATTTTTTAAAATAAATCAATCCATATTTTAAAATAAATCAATCCATATTTTAAAATAAATCAATCCATACTAAAATATAAATCAGTTTGCACACGCCTTACTACTGAACCAAGCTGGATGTTTGTGTCATGAATTACACAATACCTTATATATTAAACCTATACCACATGAAAAGTTTAAGACTAGACCACTAGAACAAGATTATATATAAATTTTTTTAATTAAAAAAATAAAACAACTAATTAAATATCAATGTGTATAATTTAAAATTATATATAATATTTGAGTTATAAATAAAAATAAATATTAAATTTATTTTAAAAGGAATTAAATGTTCTTTGAAGAGGTTATAAGAGCTTTGAAGACATAAGGCCACGTCTACGCCAAGAAGAGGACGCGCAGACGTTAGAAGAGCTTCTGTCTTCTAAAAAATAAACGGTCTGCGAAGCCCAATGTCTGCGCGTGGTCTGTGCGGCGTAGTCATAAGAGCTTTGAAGACCTTTAACAGTGAAAACAAACACCACCTAAATATTTAGCGGCGTTTGTACCCAAACACCACTAAAGTATAATATTTAGTGGCGTTTGTGCTTTAAACGCCACTAAAGTACAAGCTTTTAGCGGTGTTTGTGCTTAAAACACCGTTAAAGTACAAGTCTTTAGCGGCATTTATATAAAATGCCACTAAAGTATGAGTATTTAACGACGTTTGTTCAAAAAACGCTACTAAAAATGCCGCTAAAAACCCATTTTGCTGTAGTGCATGTAGAATATTTCAATCATATTTGTTTCATTTTTCGAGCATAAAAATGAAGTTCTCTTTTCATTTTGAAATTTAAAAGATTTTCTTAGTTAGTATTTTTTTATTCATATGAATATTAGTTGCAACGGTTTCTCACAATTGGATACTGACTGTAGACACATATTTTTTGTCTGAGTTTATAAATTATTATTTATCTATTATTATTATTATTATTATTTTACATTTTGTAGGCCCCATAACTGAGGCCCAATTTACAAGACTGAAGCTGGATCTGACCCAAGTCAGCAAACCCAGCTAGCCCAAATGATAAAACTGATTCGACCTAACTAGGGTTTCTAAACCCTAGCCCTAATCTGACCTAACCCTAGGGAGTTGCTATCACCGTATCACCGTCACTATTCCAACCATGTATTCTCGTCATCCGCCAGCCCCCGTTTCAACCACTCAACATCATCGTCTCGTATAAACAGTGTAAAAAATTAGTCAAAAATCAACCAAATCCAAAACCCTTCAATAAAACTTAAAATAATCCCTTAAAATCGAGAATGATGTAGGGAAATCATTTCCCCTATCAACCGACCACCATAGCTTTACCAAAACCGAACAAAAAATGCATATAAATCAATAAGCAAGCAGAGAGAGAGGTCATTCGAATAGATTGGGGATTCAAAAAAAAAAAGAAATAATGAAAAAAACAAAGAAAAAAGAGGATAAAAAAAGAGAGAAAGAGATTTTACCTCTCAAATCCGACCACCATCGAGTCACCGAAGCCAACGAGATCTTGTGAACTTCAAAGGTAGGTTTTTTTTGGAGTCGTTTCTTGAGAGTTTATGTAATCTTAGGTTTTATCACTACTAGAAAAAACCACTTTAATGATGCGCATTGCACGTCATATATGGGTGCAGATGACACACAAATGCGCGTCATTGAAGCCACCATCATAAATCTCAGATGACACGCAATTGTGTGTCATAAATCTATGACTCACATTTATGAAACACATTTATGACATGCATTTATGACGTGCATTTTTGACGCACATTGCGCATCATTGAAGCCCCCATCATAAATGAAGATGACACACATTTGTGTGTCATAAATTTATGAAACATATTTACGACTTATATTGTGTGTCATTGAAGCACACGTCATTAAAAGAGATGACACACATTCGTGTGTCGTGATTGTATGTCGTAAATTATATATATATATATATATTGTAGATTGACAAATAATCAAACTAAATCACATTTAATGCCTCATAATACTAAATATATATCTGATATTATATATAAGCAATCAATTTACATACAATATATTAACATTAAGTTATAAAAAATATTGTAATCATATGTGTTGAAAACATTTTGATATTTCGATATAACAAATTAAGTTAAATGAATATTAAGATTTTCCAAAAGATTTTTTTAAGTATATTCGATATAATTATTCGAATATCAAAATATTACTCCAAATCTTTCAAATGTCATTTTTAATCCTTACTCAAGTGTAAAATTAAGTTTTAATCTTAAAATAATTTCAAAATAATTTTACAAAGTATTTCGAACCATTTCAAAGCCAAAAATTCCAGATTACTCAGAGGGAACCGATTCCCCCTGTTTAACAATCAAAATATTTGAATTTTACACTTAGGGAACCGATTCCCCATGAGGGGGTACCGATTCCCCCCACGCTCCAAGCTATTTTATTAATTGATTTCACACTAAAACGGCTCCATTGGCTCCACTAATCATCCCCAACATTCAGAATCAATTGAAGGAGTATTTAAACAAGCTTAGAAGCCATTGATCAACAACAAGAAACAACAATCAACAAGAATCAAGAGAGAATCAAAGAGAAAGCATCACACCTCAAGTTTGAGCATTTTCAAGCCTATTTCATTCAATATTCATTTTTGCTTTCAAAACCACTTATTGTGCTCAATTGTATTATTATTGAGTGTTCTTTCTTTGTTCTATAATTGTGCAAACATCTTTCCTTGTGAGGATTTTCTTGTAAGTTTGCAAAATTTGTATTGTTCTCTTTGGTAGAGAGTGTTCTCAAGAATTTGGGGTATAATTCTTGAGGGATTTGTAAGGTTACTCTTTGTCCTCAAAAGAAAGACAAATTAGTGAACTTGTGGAAAATCCTTAGTTTGGATAGCTAAGGTAGTGGACGTAGACTTTGGTTGAGAAAGTCGAACCACTCTAAATAGTTGCGCAAAAACTTTCAATTTTCTGCAAAGCTTCCACCGAAATTTTTATTTTCCAATTCACCCCCCTCTTGGCCAATTACATCGATCGATTAACTCAACAATTGGTATCAGAGCCTCACTCATTTGAAGGGTTAATTGCCTCTTGAGTCGATTCGGGAAGAGTTACATCGATTTTCAAGTCATCAATGGTCGGCGCTTCAAACTCCGACTTCGGTCTTGATTCATTGCCCGTTGACAAGCCTCTTTTCTTTAATGGAGCTAATTATGCTTATTGGAAGAATATGATTATGTATTTCATTCAAGCAAGTGACATGGGAGCATGGAATATCATAGAAGACAGATACATCAAACCTTCTACTCATCCAAGATTATGAAGTGAAGGAGATACAAGAATGTTCCAGCTCAATTCCAAAGCTATCTATATTATCTTTTGTGCTCTTGGACCGGATGAATACGGGAGAGTTTTATATTGCACAACCGCCAATGAGATATGGGACAAACTTCAAGTCACTCATGAAGGCACAAACGAGGTAAAAGAATCTAAAATTAGTCTTCTAACTCATAGCTATGAAAATTTCAGGATGAAACCGGATGAAGATATCAAAGCTATGACGGATAGATTCTCCACAATTGTCAATAGTCTCAAATCATATGGAGAAATCATTTCAAATGAAAAGCTTGTAAGGAAGTTAGTTTACTCTCTTCCAAAAGCTTGGCAATCAAAGAAGACGACGATCATCGAGGCTAAGAACTTAAAATCCTTGACCCTCGATGAACTTATTTTCTCTCTCCTCATGCATGAAATAATGCTTAAAGAAGAGGAAGATCTTGAGAAAAGAGACGAGCCAAATAAGGAGACGGAGAAAAAGAAGAATGTGGGAGTTTCTCTCAAATCAACAAAAGATGAGAGTGATTCGGATGAAGACGACGATGACGAGGAAATGGCATTGTTTGCCAAACGGTTCAGAAAAATGATGAGGCCAAACCGAGGAAGAAAATTCAAATGAAATGAAGGCTTCATGTTGAAAACATTTTGATATTTCGATATAACAAATTAAGTTAAATGAATTTTAAGATTTTCCAAAAAGATTTTCTAAGTAAATTCAATATAATTATTCGAATATCAAAATATTACTCCAAATCTTTTATATGTCATTTTTAATCCTTACTCAAGTGTAAAATTAAGTTTTAATCTTAAAATAATTTCAAATCAATTTTACAAAATATTTCGAACCATTTCAAAGCCAAAAATTCCATATTGCTCAGAGGGAACCGATTCCCCCCAAGGGGGTACCGATTCCCCCCTGAATGGTTTGGCTCCAAGAAAAATAGAATTCTCGAAGGGAACCGATCCCCCCTGTTTAACGGTCGAAATATTTGAATTTTACACTTAGGGAACCGATTCCCTATGAGGGGAAATCGATTCCCCCCTCGCTCCAAGCAGAAATATTAATTGTTTTCACACTT